TATATACTATTATTATTCTTAATTTTTTAAATTATAAGGCATATTTTTTTTGGATTAACTCTAGTCAAGTCATTGTCATGGAAAATTATTTCAATATGAGACAATATAAATTATTGACCATTTAAACAAACTTTTTTCATTATTTCTTTAATTCAAGATATAAGTTATTGAATATTATAAAAATTAATTGTGGGGTTAATTAACTCAAATTAAATTAACCCAAATAACACTAAATCATAGTTTGAGATGGACATTAGGAATCTATGTAAAGTTCAATAAATTATATAGGACAAAAAGTATATAAATGATCAATGATTCATTGTCTTGGAATTAATTATTAAATTGATGGGGACCTAACTTGAAAGAATCCAAAAGTACATACTTTAGAAGCTAGTTGGGCTCAAAGATAGCCTAAAAGATAATTAACTTTTAATTAATTCATTAATAAATAAAATAGGGCACTATCATGAGTGGATCCCATTGCAACCAAAAGATGATTAATTATTTTCTTAAGTAAGCATTGCATTCATTAGTGATGTTAATTTTCTTATTTTAATTACATTAAAAATACACTAAGACTTGTCAACCAATGTGTGTCTAGTCTGCTTTTGGGGTTGAGTAAGTTGGGTAATCTCTTAAATTGTGTATTAAGAATATGGCTCGATTCTCAATCCGTGCCAACCTCTTAGCAAAGAGCCTAGTATAATCTTCTTCATTAGTGAGTTGTACCAGAATATGGCTCCCATCAAGGAGCCCAATTTTCCGGCTACCAGACAAATTCATCAATTGAGCTGCATATGATGAGAAAGAAAAAGGAGAGTGGAATCTTGCTTTATGCATAGCAATACAATAGATTTTTAAAAAGCAATTAGCCACATACTTCTTAGATGCCATCAACTATATTTAGAGCAGAAATTATCGCATGATATTTATCTTATCACACCATATTATCTTATCGTGAGATAGGTGTTGCCTTCATTATGTTATCTTTAGTAAAATTTTGGTCGTATATGAGTAATGTTAGTCAAATTAATGAATATAGATGAGTCATGTATTTTGGAAGGATGGGATAAATGAACCAATAGGTGAGGTATTAGTTGGTGGTCATCAAACAAGTTTAATTAGTTAAGCAATAATTTGATTGGGCTATTTCAAGTTGATCCAAAAAGGTTTAAGGGTAATAATAATAGCTAATTTGTTGAAAAAATGGCATTAAACATTTGGCATCACATGATGTATTTAAGAAAAAATCTCAAATTATGAAGCATATGTCCAAGAATAATGGCATAAAAGTTATCATGAATATGTTGAAGAAACTTCAATACTTTTGTGAGTTACTTGAATAAAATAGATTTATAGAGAATAATAAGCCCACCTAAGAAAAACATAGAGAATAAATAATCAAATGTAACATGATGAATTTAAAAGTATTAAGATGGCCAAAATTATAGATCCTAAAGATGTAAGATGGGAGAAAATATCTCATGATTATTAATATACTTATATGAGGCATGGTGGTATAATAAATAACCTGATTTAAAAGATAGAGAATATGGATCCATACAAATTTTCATGATATCATCATTCTAGGTTTAATACTTGTAATCTATTTAGTCAAAGAAAGAAATAAACTAACCATATCATATAGATATTTATCTAAAAACATGAATTATTTTGTTTGAAAGAGCTTTATAAACTGGGGAGGTTTATATAAAAGAATTAATAACTTGCATCCAATGTAAAAGCTAGTCTTAAATATGTGGGACAAACCTTAAGGATAGGAAAACCTGTGATTTAAGGAAATAAAAAAGCCAGGCTAATAGAGAGAATGATTAATTGAGCGAATATGAAGACTATAACAGAGTATAGAAAGATATCCTTAGTTAATATCTAACGCTTTTTCATTGCTCCACATTATAAAACTTTATTGAAATTTATATATGTGATTCAAGTTATATTTAAAATAGTAAATACTTTTTTAGCAATCTAAAATGAGGTTTTGAGATTTCTCCATGATAACTTAGCTAATGGAGAAATCATTTAACAAAATAAGAAACTAAATTTTGAATGACTCTACAATGCTAAATTTATTTTTTTAATTTTGTCTCAACCTTTTCATGAGCTTCCATGGTCATTAGGCTAGTTATTAAATGAATCTTATCTTGAATATTAATCAATGCAATATTTCAATCCTAAAACATTTTAAATGTGATATCAGTACCTCAATACATATTTTTTATAATCAAAATATGTTCATTTACACCATGGATCATACATTCAATATAGATTATAAATAATATTTTTTTTCCTCCTCATAAGACCACTCTTTAAATTAACGAAACATCTTACTCTCCTCCTCTCTTTATCCCGTAACTCCCTTTGTCCTAATTATAAAAAAACAACATAATGTAGAATCTTATAATTGAAAAGAGATTCTCCTTAAAGTTAAAGGAAAATCAATATGAACATTTCATTCTTATGATACAATAGAAGATTCTTCTTACATGGTAAGAATGAGTGATGAAGTTCAACAAAGAATCTGATGAGATTTCAATAGTTTAAAGACCCTACCATCGATTTTTTAATGCATTTAAGTATTATTGAGACTATTATTACTTAATTTAATTGTGTTTAATATAAAAAGCTATCTTTTTAATTTTTTATTTATCTCAAGTAATAGTTATTATAATGTGGTTAAGCATTGATATAATAATGTTGATTATTTTAGTAAGTGTCATTGATTCACGTAATATGTGCTACTTTAGTGTTTGATTTTATTTTATCATGCAATAAAGCATGATCATAATAATTAATATGTTGTCTAAGGTGCATTTGAGTTTATATTCTCATAGGTCAATAACTTATATTATAAATTTCAATCACCACTTTTATTTTTATGTAATAAAAATATTTTGATAAAAAAATGCACTTTTGATTAAATTTTCAAAATAAATATTAGAGACATAGCATATAAAATAGAATTTCCCCATTATTAAATTACTAAAACAATAATGCATTGCATTAATTTTTTTTCTTAAATTATTAATAATATGGAAGATTTACATGCACGCCATTCAATTCTTACCTATTTGCACATCTAACAACTAAACATCAACTTTTACATATATGTATATATGTGTATATATATATATATATATATATTGCGCATTAAAGGTATTATAAATATAAAAAAGGGTAAAGTTTTGGGATAGAAATGTAAATACATAAGAATTGTGTGATATGTATGTAAAATGCCCCTACTATTAATTGCTTGGACGAAGCTGCCCCTCTGATCATCTCCATTTGCGGCTTTACCGTCTGCCACTTTTTACTCTTCAGTATTCCACCGCTTATTTTCCCATTCCCAGAAGCTCTCGAAATCCTGAAGAAGAAGAGAAACAGTTGCAGGCAGGGAGCCATGTCTTCTCCGAGCAAGCGCAGGGAAATGGATTTGATGAAGCTGTGATGCTCTTAAGACTGATCTTTCCTTTCTGTTCGAATTCTGCTTCTTATGTTTGTACTTTTGGTTTATTTGACTCTTTTGTGTAGGATGATGAGTGATTATAAAGTGGAGATGGTAAACGATGGGATGCAGGAGTTCTTTGTTGATTTCCATGGACCTAAAGACAGTATATCTTACACACCCCTTTATGTGTTTTAGCTACGAGTTTGTTCTTCTTTTAAGCTGCAGGATTAATGGTTCTTATTTGTTGATTTGGGTTGTTGGACTTTTGATATGCTATTTCAGTGAGATTACTTGATTTGTGAGTTTCTTTTTTCTTGCTTTTTTCAATTGTATGGAGCATTTATTTGGAAGATTTTTCTTGATTGTGATTAAAGTTGCTTCTGTCTTCAGCGCTGTAGGATTAATGGGAATTTCTAAATCTAGATTATTCTTAAAGAGGGTTTTATTTTTAATTTTGGTGAATTAATCCCCCGGTTTTTTTGTTGATTTGTAAATTAGGACATATATTAATTAGTAATTAATTAAAATTGATTGCATAATTCATTCTTCTTCATCAGTTGTTTCACTGCCTCTTATGACTTGAATCTGTGATCTCGGAGATACAATCTTTGTCCTTTAACCAATGGGCTGTGAGTCCTTTCACAAAAATGAAAAATCAGAGGATTAATTTACCAAAATTAAACTATTATTCCTTTCATCGAGATATTAACTAATGAATAACCCAAATTTAGAAACTCCCATTAATCCTATGCCAAAGAGAGAAAGAAATTTATAGATTTTTTATTACTGTTTTTCAGCAATTTCACTATTTTTCTAATTTTGTAGATTGACGCTTGTCTTCTTGATTACTCATCTTAAATTGTGATTTGGAAATCAAGAACAATACAAATCTTATTAGAATGGTTTTATATTATAAATAATGAATCTCATGACATTTGAAAGTGGGTAAAAGATATCATCTTCCATCATACTCTTTTTTTATTTCTCTATCATCGCAACCCCTTCCAAGAGATCATAATTCATTTGTTGTAGTTAGGGGCGTAAACAAGTTGAGTCGAGCTCGGGCCACACTTGGCTTGAGCTTAAGCTAGATTAATTAATTATTCACTATTTTTCTAATTTTTAAGATTGACATTTGTCTTATTGACTACTCATCTTAAATTGTGACTAGGAAATCAACAACAATTCTAATCTTAGTAGAAGGGTTTTATATTATAGATAATGAGTCCCATGACATTTGAAAGTGGGTAAAAGATATAATCTTCCATCGTGCTCTTTGTTTATTTCTTTATTCTAGCAAGCCCTTCCAAGAGATTATAATTCATTTGTTTTCTTAGGGGTGTAAACAAGTTGAGTCGAGCTTGAGCCACCCTTGGCTTGAGCTTAAGCCCAATTTGTGTTCGAGCTGGCTCACGAATCAGCTTGTTTATTGTGAAAGAGAGAAAATAATATTAACTTAAGGTAATATTATAATAAAATAATAAATAAAATTAGCAATTATGAGATAAATAATAAGAAATCACCTGCTATAAAATGTAAAATATCATTCCTTAAACATTCTTAATAATTTAAAGATAAAGTTTTGAATTTTAATATATTTTGAGTATATGTTGTATTAATATTTTTTTAAAGGAGCCAACTCATGAGCTAACAAGTCGAGTTGGGGCTGGCTTGCTAGCTCATCTAGCTTACCTAACAAGCTACTTATCGAGGCTAAGCTTGAGCTGACTCACGAGTCGGCTTTGCTCAGTTACACCTCTAATTGTAGTGGTCTTATGACAACATAGCTACAAATTCATACCTACCCCACTTCCATGCCAATCTACTCTAGCCATACTCCACTAATGTTTGCTAAAAAAAATAAATTCAATATAAATTAAAGCCCAAAACAAATGTCCAATCATTGAGGAGCATGGTTGGCAAGGAGGAATTTTACAAGCTTACATGAATAGTCAATGAGTTATTTGAGCTTATTATTAAGAAAATGATGAAGAATGATGTTTAAGCCTCAACATTGGGCAAGGTAGTAGATCGCTTTACACATTCTCCTCCAACAACTTCTAATCAACCTAACACAACAATTTTTTCAATTTCATGTTTGCAATTCCACAATGCTTGATTGAAATTTCAATTTTTTTACGGTGATTATATGTATAGGTGGACCTGTTGAGTCGAATAGTTCTTTAGATTTAATCAAAGACCAGAATATTGTTAAGTGCAACTAAAACTTCATTCCATATTGGATAAATGTGCCTTATAGTGGTATCAATGGTTCTAGAACAGTCAAGTGGACTTTTTGGTAGAAGCGTTATGTATTACATTCAAGCCTACTCAATATAAAGTTTAGGGTCAACTCACCAAACTCAAGGAAGGCCTATTGTGATCATTACATGAATATCGATCTAGGTTAAATGGATTGTCAATCATAACACCAAGTTCATGAGGATTTCTTTATAAGCTGCTTAATTGGTGAATTAAACCAATCTTGATGCATGAGGTGCAGAAATTTAAACCTGCCTTGATGTCCCATGCTATTGGACTTGTATGCCTACATGAAGAGGCGTTAGCATTGCTAGGTGCAAATCATGCACAGAACAATTATATCCGCGTCAACTTATTTGTGAAGTATAAATATGGCCATCATGTATTGGACTTGCATAAGCTCAAAAATGAAGGGAATGGATGCTATTACTATTTTTGTGTAATCCTAGATAGAATTCTTACAATCAACTTTTATGATTGAAAATGACTGGGAAAATGAAGAACAGGATGCAGGTGACATTGCCTCGAAGTAGAAAGATGAGTTTTAAATATTCCTTCAATTTTCATGCATACTATTTTGGTTTCTTCTTCTTCACAAATTACGAGGGTCAATGGCTTGATCAAGCGACAATAACTTATTTTTTTTAGTTTTTATTTTTTGTTGTTGGAAATATAAATTATAATTTTGTGAAGAGGATCCAATGAAAAGTCATAGAGAGTGTTGCATTCCGGCGATATTTTTAATGAAGACAAACTGACAACTAGTGGCAAATGCTCTAACTTGTAACTTTCCATTGAAGATTTCAATTCAATGTGTATTTGCATGTGCTAACCCTTGAAAGATGCGAAGTTTCCTTGGGTGCCCATTGTTTCTAGATTCTTGGTCCCATTATATGGGATTAGCTTAAAATCCAAGGGCTACAACACAAGCTCTAAGACACGATGTTTTAGGCTACAAGTTTTGGCTAACTATTCATTGGGGAGAAACTAATGCAAAGGAGCTACGACAATGTGTATGAATCCATACAATGCAAATGGATTTGCATTTCACTATCTTCGAGCCAAAGATTGAAAGCTTTATTGGACTCTTTCAAGGAACTCTTTAGTACTCTCACTAGCTTAACTCCTTACCGAAATTATGATCATTAGAATTCCCTTATTCTAGAAAATCATTCTATGAATATTCAACTTTATCCACCCTTATTGCCACCCACATACTAAAAAAGAGAATTTAAAAGGAAACCTCATGAGATGCTAGCCGGTGATTCTAAACAGTAATAATCTATATTCATCTTTGATGTTATTTTGCAAGTAGGAATGGATGTCAAGTTATTTTACGTTACTGTGCTGTGTAGCATACTATTATAATTTAACCTATAATCCAAACCTATATATATTTAAGAATCAGATACTTCAAATTGTATGTGAATTCAATAATGCATTTTAAATAAATATTGTTACCTTCTTATTGAAAGGAAGGTAGCGGAGACCCTTTGAATATATGATACTCGATCATACAATTGGTAATTAAGCTATAAATATTTTGTTGACTCAAATCCTCGTTAACACACGAATAATATCTTATAAAATTTTAAATTATAATATTAATATGCTACACAGCACAATTATGTAAATAACTTGACATCCATAGCTGATGTAAGGTCTTAGAAATTTTACATTCAAGATATTCAAATTTTGTATTTACATATTCTAAATTTTTAGCTTTATTATATATATTTTACACATAGTATAAGTTATGTGAAATTATTTAAAATAATTATATATGTTTATGAAACATAAAATCTAGTGGGCCTCGAATATCCTTGGAGCTAATGCCACACGCTATTGGATTCTGCTAATAAATGCTACTAAAAAAGCCTAACTTTAAATGGTAGATCGAATAATGGGATACCTAATCAAGTTTGGTCAGGTCAGATACCTTATCTATAAGGCATAATTATATCTCTTGTTTATAAGTACAAAGGTTATTGGAGGTTTTGGATTGATTATAGATGTCTTAACAAAATTATTATGAAGGATAATGTTTTAATTTCTATTACTTCTGAGCTACTAGTTGAATTACTAGATGATATTCATGGTGTTTCTTTGCATACAAAATTTGATATGAGAACTGGTTGCAACCAATTCCGATTTCCTGAAGATGTAATCCTTAATTAAGTTTTCTAGACAAATGATAGTCATTGTGAGTTTTTAGTAATGTATTTTTAAGTTTTGGTGTAAGTCCACTATGGAAGCTCTAAATTTATTGAGAGCTTTGATGAAGAAGTATAGAGAGAAGGAGGAGGATTCTACATATGATTTTTGTTGATTTAGAAAAAGCTTATGATAATGTTCCAAGAGAAGTATTATGAAGAGTTTTAGAAAAGAATGGTGTTGATATTGCTTACATTCAAGTAATTAAAGATACGTATGCTAGAGTTATTACTTGTGTTCGAACACACGAAGGATTGACCAAGTATTTATTTATTTGAGTTGGATTACAACAGGGATCGACTTTAAGTCCATATCTTTTTTATTTAGTTATGAATGTATTTACTGGACTTTTATAGGAGGATGTTCCTTCGTTTATGTCTTTCGTTATATCTTTCTTGTGAATAAGACTAGCGAGAGAGTTTAGGATTAACTTGAATTATGGAGGTCAATTTTAGACTGTAAAGGCTTTCGTTTTGAGTAGATCTAAACTAAAGACATGGAATGTAATTTTAGTAATAGTAGAACCAATGATGGGGTTGTAAAAATGGGTGATCAAGTCATTAAAAGGAGATAACATTTTAGATATCTCAAGTCTACTTTTTAAAGTGATGGTGATACATATGGGGATGTTCTTAGTAGAATTCAAGTTAGATGGCTAAATTGGAAAAATGCATCGAGCGTATTGTG